AATCCTGTATGTCCTTGAATGTTACAAAAATGATTTTCTGCTACCAACTGTACATTTTTCACATATTTTCACATACCCGAAGTTCACTACGGTCCGTGTCTATATGCACGGTGCTGTATGTACTGAGTTCCTGTACATTTAGAAGTCATAGAATATGTTTAACTCGAGACAGATAAAACATTTTTCAAACGGAGAAAGACCATAATACTGGGTAACTGTGGACTATTTTAGTTTTCCTTTAGATTAAACGATTCTTTCGTATCAGCCTGGAACCCATAACTTCTCAGTCAACACCTACCCGAAGTTCACTACGGTCTGTGTCTATATGTACGGCGCTGTATGTACTGACTTCCTGAACATTTAGAAGTCATAGAATATGTTCAACTCGAGACAGATAAAACATTTTTCAAACGGAGAAAGACCATAATACTGGGTAACTGTGGACTATTTTAGTTTTCCTTTAGATTAAACGATTCTTTCGTTATCAACCTGGAACCCATAACTTCTCAGTCAACAACCTACCTGAAGTTTACTACGGTCTGTGTCTATATGCACGGGGCGTATGTACGGCGCTGTATGTACTGACTTCCTGAACATTTAGAAGTCATGATCATAGAATATGTTCAACTCGAGACAGATAAAACATTTTCGAACGGAGAAAGACCATAATACTGGGTAACTGTGGACTATTTTAGTTTTCCTTTAGATTAAACGATTCTTTCGTTATCAGCCTGGAACCCATAACTTCTCAGTCAACAACCTACCCGAAGTTCACTACGGTCTGTGTCTATATACACGGCGCTGTATGTACTGAGTTCCTGAACATTTAGAAGTCATAGAATATGTTCAACTCGAGACAGATAAAACATTTTTCAAACGGAGAAAGACCATAATACTGGGTAACTGTGGACTATTTTTACGCGACAATCTATTTATTTAGCATGTCCATGTTAGGAAAACACGGGGAATGCCCGCTTCTGTTGTTATGGCGTAATAAATGGAACACGTCCTAGCTTATTTGACATCAGATTTGTGTCGCTTGCTTGTAATTAGTGAATAAAAATTAAGGAGGCTGAACTCCCCATTCTAGTTTTAATCTTGTACTTTTTTCGGTGCATACCAGGGATTCCCTTAATAACGGGTCGGGGACAGAAATATCTGGCACGAGTTTGCGAGTTTATTTGTTTACTTGTCCTAACGAGTGACTTGGGGACTCATTAATTCGGTTCTTCAAGATACTGTATAAGTTTAAAGCATTAACTTGATGTATTTCATGATGCTTACACGATATTTTGTATAGACTGCCTTCACAAACTGGACCAAAGGGTTTCAAACATGTGATTCTTTACTTAAATAGTGTTTCAAACGCCTTGACTGGCCTTGGCCAAACTATCAATGTGTCGCGATATTCGGCGCTTTCACTTGTAAAATGGATAATTAGCAACATAAGAGTGGCACGCGAGAGGGAGTGGGGGGGGGGGGTTCACACCTTTTGTTCGTTGATTAGTACAGAATGATAGATAATAATCACATCATACAATAAGGTAATAGGCCTGTATTGTTTACAATACACATTCGCGCGCTTGCCCCACAAATGATTAGCCCATTCAATGGAGAAGACCTACAAGTACACTTACCTTTTACATATTCTGTCAACTCACATGATTCCCGGTCTTGTGTAATCACGAATCACATTAATTTCACATTTATTTCACATGTCAAAAATGTAATTTGATGTCACATTTTTTCACATTTTGCGTTTTCGTGAACATCACATAAATTTCACATTTCGCGGAATGCCAGATGTCTTCACATCTTTTCACATTTTGTAGTCAAACCCATTTCACATAACTTTTACATAAAGACACATTTTTAAAAATGTGACTCAGGTGTGACTCAGGTTAACATTGTTTCACTTTTTCACTGAGAGTACGTTTCACATAAAAATCACATAGGCATCGGCGGAAAAAGAACATACAGGCAGTCACATAATTTCACATAATGGGAGGAGATCCAACATCACATTTAGATAACATCTTTTCACATTTGAAAATGTGATTTTTCTGGACCGTTCACTGCAAATGTGAAAAAATGTGACGCTAAATAATAACATTTTTTCACATAAAGGTGTCGCGCTTCAGAAATGTTATTTTATATGATTTTCTGTGAACTTATGTGATAAAATGTGATGCTGTTGAACCTCAAAAAAATTCACATTACATCACATTTTTTCACATTTCCTTGAAATTTTGCACGAAATTCACATAATTTTCACATTTATGCACCTGGTAGTGTTACTGCCTAATATTGGCCTGGAGACACCCTGTATCTCCCTAGTTACTGGCCTGACGCTTTATAAGACGGATAAAGGACCCCCAGTATATGCCTAGTTACTGACCTAGATAAGGGACCCCGTATGTCCCTAGTTTCTGGTTATCTGAGACGCTGAAACTGAGATCCCGTCGTCTGTACTTCCCTCCCTCCCAGCGTCCGGCGGTAACCAAGGCGACGCAGTTTCCCGCGGGAAGCGAGCCGTTCCCGCCTTCGTAGCTGACGCGGCGAAGGACGTGGCGGCGAAGGTGGTGGACAGGCTGGGAGACAGGGTC